ATCTCAGGAAGATAGTAAATGCCTCTACTTTCCTTATGTGCACTCAACCCTGCTACCTGCTCCAACCTTTTAGTCTGTCTTTGATTCATTGCAAAAAGTAAAAATAAAATAATTTAATGTCTTCTTCATTGTGCTGGAAGATGTAACATAATCCTCAGTAGTCAGCCCTAGGTGGCCCATGTCTGACACCTAACACAACAGAAGAATGTACATGCATATTATATATTTTTTTATAAAAGGTCTATCCATGGTGATGGATTAGTTGAATAATAAATACGTATCATCACTTTTGTCTGTCTCCTCTCCTTTTGTTAACTGTAGATGTATTTTCTTGCATTTATGTAAAGTTCCTACCCAAGAGAACATGAATTTAGAAAAATATTGATGATGATATATTACTCTTGGTGTTCCTGCCACACTTATCTTTGGAAAAAAAGTCTCGTTTGAGGGGTGGGAGGATTAGTTTAGCTGACTTAGCTGAAGGTGGATGACTTTTATACAAGTCATTTAGAGTGGGTTGAATTAATTTCCAAAGGTACTTATCTTTCTCTATCAACTATATAGTGACTAAAGTGAATAAAGTGACTTGCATAATCCAAACTCCTACCTTTTAGGTCATTAAAATTTGCTTTAAATGAGTTTCACTTAAACACTGCTCTTATGCGGACAATAATTGGTCCTGCTTACGTTTAGTAAGTCTCAAGCATGGTATTCGTGCAACTGCTGAATGAAATAAATAATGTAATATCTCATTTTATATTTACTATACTATATATATGGTATAGTAAATATAAAAATAGTTATTTATATTTTATAGTTATTACCATAAAATATAAATATACGTTTGGACAAGTTTCAGTAGAGCAGAAAATATATATTTAAATAAAGTGTTGAATGATGGGTAAATTTGATGCAAATGAAAAGTTTAGCTATTAACTTTTTAAATTTATTTATTGGTTAATGTACAGGGATTTCACAGATGACCTATCATTTTTGTATACGAAAAGAACCAAAGAAACTTTAACTGTTTGTGGTGGGTTAGCTTTGGACAACAGACACATTTTCACCCAGTTGCTCCTTCCTTTCTTCTACTCAATATGACAGAGGGAGAAAATAAGATAGGAAAGGTCATATGTTGACTTAAGGACAGGGAGATTGCTTTTTATAAGTGGTAAAATGTTTTATAGCGTTTTATAGGTAAAACAGAATAGAAATGGGGAAAATTAATTTATTGTCTATTAAAATGTGTTCAGGTAGTGAGAAACAAAAGGAAATATATCAATAACACATTTCCCCTTTCCCCTTCCCATTCTCAACTTTTCTTCCAACACCTTTTCTAACAGAGGCTACTCCTACAATCTCTCGCTGAAAACATCCTGACATCTCCCCCCAATATATTGGGTTTTTTTCACTCTCTGTTTTGTTTCATTACTTTTATTCTTCTCAATCAAAAGAAGTCAAAGAAGATCTGGCAAACAGGACTAGATGCTTTTATTTTAATATGTACAGTACATAGAAAGATAAATAAAATCTGAAAATAACAGCAGTAGAAAATCACTTCTCCTATTTTACAATTTTGGTTCAGCACTGTGTATTTTTATGAAGATTAATTCTAGCTCCTAATACTGTCTCTGATGTGCATGTGCGGCTTTAGAAAATCTTTGAGTGCCTACAAGAAAAGATATGCCTTCCTAAGAAGGAATAAAAAAGTAATAGAGATATTCCTGTACTTATATTGAAGCATGAGTAGTGTATGACAAGTTCACTAATGAAGAATGATATTCTGAATATTATTCCCCAAAGGAATGAGAAAGTATTTTTATACTGCATGCATGGAAAGAAGCGTCAGATTGAAACCATTCTCTTATTTTCTTACTTTGCTCACCTTAGTATTTGTGAGTTGCTGACTTTACTTTCCATTAACCTCATGCCTTTTATTTACTTATTGCTCTGATGTTATTGTCATTAGAAATCTTTATGATTCCCAGGATGCTGATGCAGTAAAGTGAACTTGAAATAAAGGCTCTAAGTTTGAATTCCAAAGTTTAGACTGATCTAGTAATATAGCTTTTATTTCTAAAGCTTAAAATTTTACTGTGTGTTTCAGAGGCACTTTGAGGCTACTGGCTACTCACTTTAGACAAAAAGTCAGGCCTGCTATTCAAATGTCATTTCCCACCACGGGTTTAAAGAAACAGAAATACAATAACCGTCAGTACTCTCTTAATTTTGGAAATTTGACAAATTTCAGCTACAGTTATTACCAATAGTATTTTCAAATGTAAAATCTCCAGTACATATATTTTCTCATGTTGTTTTACTTCCAGAAATTTCTTAGTGATTTTAGTTATTTAATTGTGAACTCACAGAGCCTAAAGTGTGGAGGTACAAAGCATGATGGATCTTCATGTTTGACTAAAATATGCACTGAAAAAAATCCCCTCAGTTAAACTGAGAATTTATTATTGTTCTCAATGCAATATTCTATGAGAATATTATTTTCCTACTTTTCTGGCTCAGCTTTGAAATTTGTCATGTTCCTGTGTAGACTGATGTCAGCATATGATTTCTCAGATCGCAAAAAGATGATGTTGTAGGTATTTGCTATAGCCTGGAACAGTAACTTGACAAAGACTTTAAAGTTCTCAATAGTGACATTTAAAATCATGTAACCTCAGTTCCAAGTCTGTGTTACTTCAGGAAGTAGATTGTGTTTAGGTCTGAAAGGTATTTCAGTAATGACTTCTTAATGTGATTTCCTTTTCATGAAAGGTCTAATACGCCTTATTCCAATTTCATTTACAACATATTAGCATTTGGTAATTATTTTTAATAGAGCATTTCTTTTATCGCTGCTTGACATGTGTAAGGTTTATAATGTTGCAATGTCACAATTCTAATGTATTTGACATATTTTTAATGGAGAATAAGGGTTTTTCCCTGCCTAAAATTACACAACAGCACAAGAATGCATAGTTATTAAAATGATTAATGCTTTATCAGAATAATACTGAAACCAAATTAAATATTTGAGGAAATGGAGGTAAGTTTAAAAGGAAATTGCAAAGAGGGTACATAGTAAACATATCATACAGACAAAAGTTTATAAAAATATGCTCTTAAAATATGCTATTCAGTAATTAAAAAATTTATTTAACTGTTAAACTGATGTGATGAAAGTTTTCAGATTCTAACTAAATGTTGATATTTTGCTTCTAAATCAAAATTGTTATAAAAAATTAAGTCCTTTGATATCTGTAAAAGTAAACTTTTTTTGATATTCCAAACCTAAGAGGAAAGTATTTTGTACATGCAATATTTCTGGATTGTTGGATCAGGATTTCAGATAATCCTCATATACCACACTTATTTAGCCTGATTTAAAATTCCCTTTGAAACTAAACTTCTAGTGGAGGTGATCAAAATGAAGCTTGAGTGAGTTGTTCAGGACTGGGATGATCACAGTTTGTTGCCAGTGGTTTTAAATTGCCCAAGCAGTAAAATGATAAAATATAATCTGTGCCAGAGTAGAAATGTGTGCTGCTTCTTTTTACCTGTCTCCAAGATAAACCTTCAAATGCAAGGAAAAAGGCACAGCTCCCTGAGGACTGCAGTGAGTTATAAGTAGCAAGACTGAAAGAGGAAAACAATCCGTTTGAAATACAAAAGTTTAAAGACCTTATTATGTCACCCTTCAAGGTGGGAACATAATTTGCACATGAAAATAAGAACATATCTGGAACTAAGTTAATTTAAGTGTGATAAACCTCAAGTGAACAAGTAGGGGGAAAAATGAAGGAGAAACAGATTTTTTTTTTTTTTTTTTAGTTTATATAGAATGATCCGTTATATCTATATTTTACGTGAAAATCATCTTGAGACCCCAAGTTTATCTCCCTGAACAGATTCACTTTGCATTCTCACAGCCTAACTTCAGGCATTCAAGCACATTACCTGGAGTATTTTAAAGCTCTCTTAGGCAAACAGGCTTCCCAGGTCAGCATACCACTGAACACAGCAGATGGACTGTCCCCAGGCTGCCTACGAGTAGTGTGCTGATGAGAAGCAGTCGTTGAGATAGGATGTGATCACAAGGCAGGTGGAAATCCTTGAAATGCTTACTGCTGTTGGTTTGAAATACTATTCAACTGAGCACAATTGTGCACCTGCTCCTGAGGTTGCCATAAACAGGCCGCAAAATAATTGTATTTGCCACTCTTTGAGCTTAACCGAAATGGAACTAAGAGAATTTTTGTTACTTTAGAAAAAATGGAATTTGGTTTTAAATTTTAACACAATTTATCCACAGTATAACAGTATATCATGGGGATGCAGTGCATCGTTGCATAACAACTACATGATAATTAATTTAGAATTGTGAAATGCAAAGCTCACATAACCACATTACCTGGAATGTCATCAACTGATGCATTACTTCCCTAATCTCTTTTTTTTCCAAAGAATATACACTGATTTCTGAAAACACTTCCAGACACATTATGTTGGTGTTATTTATGCTCTTTGTCAGTTTATGATATTTCCTGACTATTTGCCATCATTGCTGCAATCTTGTTAGACAGCAGTGATGTGTGTTTCTCATGGAGCACACAGCCGGTCCAGGAAGCTGTACCATAGGTCAAATCTCCAGAGCTCTTACTCTGCTCTAATTTTAGATGTAATCCAAGAAAAATTTGTCTCAGTCAAGATTTACTAAAATACTGAACACTAGGGTTTTTTTTTTTTGTGGTTGTCAGCTTTTCAACAGCTTCTTACCTTATGATGATATTTTCATGAGAGCACTGAAAAATTGGCAATATTTTAGAACTAGCTATAGATGGATTCATTTTACTTTGTCTTTTAAAAAATCTTTATGTCATGATCACCTATCTTCAGTTTAAAAATTCCACTTAAAATCTCTCATTAAAAGACATCATAGTCCAGCTTCACTAATGAAAATAGAAAGTATCTTCTGTTCTGTTTGTCTGTCTTATCTACCCTAGCTAACCAAGGGTTTACCCACACCATGTATGATGTCCTGCTCAGGAAGAAAGTCTGGGGATAGTGGGGACGTTTGGAGCTATGGTCTTTGTTAGTACAGATTGCCATTATTCATGAAGGAGTCTTGGTTTACTGAAAATGGATGAACGCCTGCCTGCTGATGGTGAGTAATGAATATTTTTTTTTTCTTACATGTGCACCTTTTGCTTTACTTATCATATTGTCCTTACTTCAATTCAAAAGTTTTTCCACTTTTACCCCTCCAATTCTCTCTTCCATCCTGCTATGGGGCAGTGACTGGGTGACTGTGAGGGTCTTAACTGCCTACTGGGATTAAACCACAACAACTAAAAAAGGGTTTTGTTCAGTTGAATAAAAATAGCTTAGCGTTGACAGGGTTTAATGTGGTCAAGGACAAAGCTTGAGATTCTCTGTAGTAATAAGATGGAGATATTGATTATTGCCATAAGGATATACACTTGCTTTAGCTGAAATGTCATTGCGCTCTGCAAGATGCCTGCCTCTGAGCAACTTGTCAGAATGCATGACATGAAAAAGTTATTTATATATTCAAATAGAAACAGAGACTTGTTTTACTGTATATTATGCTCAACGAGTTCTGTTGAAATAGGAATTTTGAAAAATGTGTAGTGACCAAAAGTAAGCCCTTCAGACTGTTACAGTTTTTGCTGTAGATATAATAACCTCATGGAAGAGTTTACAAAACCATCTCTTGGCACCACAAACTTGCCAGAGGCAAATTTCTATTCAGCAGTTATTATAGTTAATGTCTGAAAGGGGAGCTAAGACAATTGCCAAGTAACCAATGCTTGCCTGGAAATGTGAATGTAATGCCTAAAAGCAGTATGAAAAAGCAAATAGCTAGAGATTAGGACCTGAAAATAACATGAGAAAGGAACAGGAACAGAAGATGAAAGATATTGAAATCATTCAAAGTAATAGTTCATTGCAAAGCCCATGTAGCTCTCAGACCAAAACACCAATGAAATTAAGCTGTCAGGGTAAATCAAAGTTGATGCATGCATTAAAGGTGTTTGTGAGAGAGAAAAAGATGGTGAGTGAGATGTGTGACAGTAAATTGGGATTCTCCAAAAAGCCTGTATAATCAGTTGCCAATATTCTGAGTCCTCTACAGAATGACTGTAACAGAGGAGGAAGACTTAACGCACATGAGCAGCCTCATGTGTTCTGTTATTATTCATAAGTTGCTTTTTGCTGTTTATGTTTGCTCAGAAAATTGGTGATTTTCTGTCACAGACATATTTTATGAAAAATCCTTTTGACAGGATTTTTTCTCCTGAGAAGCCTCAGAGGAAAAAAAACCCAATAATTATCTGCTGCTGTGGAATGCAACAGGCACATCTTTGATTGGTCCATGTGAGTTGATTCTACTTGATGACCAATCACAGGTCACAGCTGTGTTGGGACTCTGGTCAGTCACAAGATTTTATTATCATTCCATTCTTCTTTGCTAGCCTTCTGATGAAATCCTTTCTTAGATTCTTTTAGTATAGTTTTAGTATATAATTTTCTTTTAATAAAATTTATATAATAATTTAATAAATCAGCCTTCTGAAACACGGAGTCAAGATTCTCATCTCTTCCCTCATCCTGGGACCCCTGCAAACACCACCACAACTTTCTACAAAAAAGGTTACAGCATTGGTGGATAGAGGAAGAGTGACATCATATACCTGGACTTGTGCAAAGCATTTATACACTGTCCTATGCAACATGAGACACATGGATTTTACAGGTCAACAATTTAATGTCCAGTGAATCTTCTGGGTAGTGATATGCAAAGATTTGTAGTCAACATCCTGATTATCTGTCTGAAGAACAGTGACAAGCAGCATCCCTTGGGGTTAGGCATTGGGAGCAGTGTTATTTAATGTCTTTGTCAGGGATGTGAACAGTGAGGTTGGGTGCACCCTCAGCAAGTTTGTGGATGACACCAGGCTTGGTGTTGCAGTCAACAAACTTGAGTGAAGGGATGCTGTCCATGGAGATCTTAAGCAAGCCCACTGCACACTCAGCTGCACCAAAAGCAGTGTGGCTGACAGGTTGAGAGCAGTGATTCTCTCCCCCTACACTCTGTTCTTGTGAAAGTCCTGGAGTTCTCCATCAAATTCTGGGGTCCTCAACACAAGAAAGACATGGACCTACTTGAGCAGGTCCAGAGGAGGGCCATGAAGATGGAGCACCCCTGCTTTGAAAAGTGGTTGATCAGCCTGAGAAGACCTTCTAGCAACCTTCAGGCACCTAAATAGGAATTGATAGGAAAGATGGGGAGGAACGCCTTATCAGGGTGTGTAGTAGCAGGATGAGAGGTAAAGGTTTTAAACTGAAAGATTTAGGTTAGAAATCAGCTAGAAGTAATAAATTCTTTACTGTGAGGGAGGTAAGACAGTGGAATAGGAGTTGTGGGTTCCCCAAACACATCCCTGGAAGTGTTTAAGGCCAGTTTGAATGGGGCCCTGGTCTACCTGATCTGTCGAAAGGCTTCCCTGCCCATGGCTGCAGTTAGGGCTCATCTATCTTCCCAGTATAAGCACACACACCGTAACTGATGAAACATCACAGCCCCTATGTGACAGAAAAAGGTGTTGAGAGGGATTGATAGCCAGCATCGTGGCTATCATGGTAAGAGTCACTGTAAGCAAAAGTATTTTTAAGTAAAAAGAGCATAGGGATACAGGTGCTGTTTCTTCAGAGCAGTCTACTGCATAATCTAAGATAAGGTGTTTTTTTATTACTCAAAAATAATAGAGGAAAAGCCTTTTTCATTTTCACTTCATGGTTCAAAAGCCACAATTTGCTGGTTATCTTCATCACCTGCTCCTTATATTAAGTGACAAGACAAACACAGCAATAAGAGTATTTTTCAGAAAAATACAGAAACTTCCATCATGAATTCTGGTTCAGATTTCTTGGCATGCAGAGGAAGGAAAAACAGTAAGTTATGAAACAAATATATTATGAATCAAGGACAGCTGCTATGTAACTGACTATCACAGTTGCTAAAACCTTCTGTAGGTGTAGAGTGACAAAGCTCATCACTGACGTAGTAAGGCAGAGCCAGTATTAATAAAAAAACAGCACTGTCTAACCTGAAAATCTTTAAAAGGATTGCAAAAATATTCCTACATTTCAAGTGCATAGTGTAAAACCTTGTGGAAGTGTTATAGAAGCCTTCTACTTTGCATCAGTGTTCCAAGCTATGAAATGGATCATCTAAGATTAAAATGATGGGAATTTTCCTTGGGTCTTTTGTAATTTTTCAGTCTGCACTGTACAATTTGCTCTCTATACCAGAAAGATGAAGCAGATGGTGGCAGAAGTATCTTATATCACCACAGTTCCACTTTTCTGGGGCTTAAGATACTACTATTACCATGTGTAATCTTCCTTCCCTTGTGGTAATTTTGGCTTAAATTCCAGTTGTTGTGGCCCTGTGGTTTCAAGCCATTATTAAAAATTTCATCAGTAAAGATGAAAAATTCCATGATTTTTTCAGCATTTCTGCAAAGCCAAATTATCATCCTCATTATATGAGCATGTCCTATTGCCAGTTAGGCTTATTACATAATTTTAATCTTTCAAACTCCAGTATAGCACACATAAAATTCAGACCTTCCAAAATACAAATGGTATTTAATTTATTTCATTTAGATAGGTTAAATTTTGAAACCAAACTTGTAATTTCAACATGGGATGCAATCAACCCAAAGACTCATTTTCTGTAAAATTACATCAAATGTCATTATTTATATTGATAATCTATATCTATTTATTATGATACATCATTGTTTCCAGAGGTCTGCCTAGAAACTGTCACTACCTATCCACATCTTAATTCTATTGTCTCACTCGAATTTTTGATTGGTGACATGCTATTAGTAACACATAGACCCAGATGCAGGGTGCAGGACTGTGGCTTCTGTTCTGGGTAACTTCCCAAGATTATATACATGCTTTGGATCATATATTTAGCCCAGGGTCTACTTATATTTGGAACTAGTGAAAGACACAAGCTCCTATAGTCCGAACAATTCTTCAGCTTTTCTCTTGTTTTCTGAATCTGAGTCATGAAACAGAGCTAGAGGTGAGTTCTCAGGACACACCAAGGAAAAGAGATAAATTGCCAGTGTTACAAAGAGGGAATGGTCAACAGATCTACCCTACCAGCAGAAGAATCTCTTCCAGGTATATTCTCCATACTTCTGTTAAAAAGTTGTAAGCAGCTGGGAGCTTTCTAGCTTAATTTACAATTAAATTTGTCAGGAATTCCCACAATCAATAAACCTTAATTAAAAGACAAGTATACTTTAGAAGTGTGTAATTCACCCTACAAAAAGTGGGTATCTAAATGCACAAATCTATGCTGGAAACCTTAGACACCGCTTGTCCCCCTTTTTTAAGCAAATGGATATCCATGAAGCTTTAGATATTTTCTATGAAAATTCATATTATGTTTTACTTTTAAAAGCCTACCAGTAAGCAAAACTACCTAAAACCCCATAAAAGCAGAACATTTATGATGAGAAGAATTTACACTTGAAAATATTTCTGTATCGGTATATGGTCATAATTTTCTGCATGTTTTCTGATGGTGATACTTTTCTTATTTTTTCATTCGGCCGTGGTATTTTCCTCTCACATGAGTAGTGCAAGTGAGAAAGTTATGAGACATCCATTTTGGCTCAATACCAAGACTTGAGTCTTTGTGCTGTATGTCTGACAGCTTTTAATAGAAGTTGGATTTAATCCAATTTTTTAGACTAAAAAGAAAAATGGAAAGGTTTTTTGCTAGAATTAGCAATCACAAAAGCACCGTGTGAGCATTATGGTTAACATTATTGGCCAGTAACTTCTTAATTTTGGCCATATATCCAAGACCCAGCAGCAATTCCAGTTTTGCCATTTGGCCCAAACTCTGTTTTGGAGAGGCAAAGAAAAAGCTCATACAACCCAGTGACGCTGAACTGTCTCGAGGGTATTGAGCACACAGTCTCTTTTATGAAGTTGTTAATAGGAAGTCTGTGTATCAACAAGTCAAATAAATTTCAGGGTTTATAGCTCTACCAATAACACTTCTTTCATTGCCAACTCCCAAATTTAATCTAAAAATTAACCATGTTG